TTTAGTTTATTTAAAGCTTTAACCAATAAATAATTGGTCGGAACTGTTTGGGAATTGTCTAATATTTTGATTTGTTATCTTAATAGAATTGCGACGAGACATTTTCATTTATTTTATACTTCTAACCGCAAATTTTAAGAGAACTTAAATAACATCATTCCCCTGTCTGAAGCGGCTCGTGATTACGATCACTTTATTCAGAGGTAATGTGCTATATCAGTTATTAGTTTATTTTACGTAAGTCTCTGTTATTTTAAGTGAACTTAATTAGTATCATTCCCCTGTCTGAAGCGGATCGTGATTACGATCACTTTATTCAGAGATAATGTACTATCCCGGTTGTTAGTTGGTTTTACTTTCCAACCACTAGTTTGAGTAAACTTCTTATAGAGTCCCGGTTTCAGCCCTGGAATTAGTACTGTCCCAAACCTGTCTCCTCGCATTCTCTGCAACCGTATATTCAATTTTGCTTTGCCGAAACATTCAATAACATTTGATTGTAAATACCGATTGGACAATTCAACAGTTAATTTTTCCTACGACCGTAAATATTATTTTCTGTAGAAAAATAGTAAATTGCATTTTTAGTTTGTTTAACGATTAAACTGTTAAAAAGTTAATTTTTCCTGCGTCCGTAAAAATAGTCTGATGGTAAATTTTTCCTACGACCGAATTATTATTTCTCCTGGACGAAATAGTAAGTTACATTTTTAGCTCAACAACCGAATAGACATTTTAATAACAAACTTTTGCTCCAACCGTGATTACTACAATTATTGATTTCATTTTTTTTACGTCTGATTGAGGCTATTCGGAAGTCATTTTCCGGCCGTTTTGTTTGTTTATTTTTGTTCAGGGTTTGTACATATTACCGTAAGGGTGGGCGTTGAAATACCTTAATTTATTTCTTTTTTTATGTTGTAAATAGCTTAAAACAATATATATGTCAACGTTAACTTGCCGTATTACTGGTTACTAATTCCTTACTTTATTTCCCCCTTATATTTCAGCTAGTGATAAATTCTGTACCAGCTCAAGCAACGATTAAAGCCCGTTACTTGTGGCCTACTATTACCTGTGTCTAAGTGACCTTTGACCCCTGAAATATTTCATCTACATCTGTAGCTACCCGAGTACTTTCGACGCCATTACCAAAAATCTGGCGCTCGAGGGCCATTAGTAACGGACAATTTTCTCAGAGGCGAGAAAATCCCTTACATAATAGTGGGGAACTATCTCGATCATCAATTTCCTCATCGTTGGATTGGCAGAGGTAGTGAATTTACGTGACCGCCTTGAAGTCCTGATTGTAATCCCTTAGATTTCTATTTCTGGGGTCATATGAAATCACTAGTATATTCCCAAGCAATAAATACTCGACAGGAACTATGGCAGCAAATTTTAAATTCCATTAATTTTATTGCCAATCAGCCAAACATATTTTTTAAAGTTAGAAAATCATTTAGCGGAAGAATGAATAAACTTATATTATTGAGGTATTGAGGTCACATCAAACATTTGTTATAAAAAGTTTTTTTAGGTATTGTTCTTTATGCGTTTTGGTATTTTCTTCTTATTAAAATTGTTCTTTTATTTAGATTTATTTGTTTTTAATTGTTTAATCCATGTTAACGTGGTTAATCACTATCTGTGAAATAAATGGCCTATATGATATAATTACTGGTTCTACTAAAAGAAACAAAAATATAAAAAATTGTCCCACTCGGAAATAAAAAGCGTTTACAATAATAATTAATGTAAAACAAAATAATTGTGCTGCTTCTTGTTTAACTTAAAATATCTCAAAAAATAATAACTTTATCGCTATGAAGAAATAGTATAATATTTACGAAGACAGTATTGGAGAATCGAAAAATTGTGATAAAATTGCAAATCCGCCAGTGCCGTAGAATTTGGGAAGGGCTAACCAGTCACCTGCCCCTGTCGTACGCCTCTGATGGTAGCTAGAAACGTTTTTTAACATATTTTAGTAAGTTTTGGAGTGAGGGTAGCCATATGTGAGTAGTAGGGATTAAGTGTAAAGGTTAAAGAAAAGGTCCTTTATTTCTCACAAGTCAATTTATTGGCGACCGGTTTCGAAGTTGTCACTTCATCATCAGGCACACCTAAATGGAATGTCAAGGAGTCAGTTGTAATAAAAACAATTATAAAAGCATGAACGGACTTTAACATATACAAAATAACAGAAAAAACACAAAAGAAAGTTAAACAATAACCTTGACTCACCTTGACTAATTCCATAAAGGAAGCGCTACAAAAAGTTTAACAGAACGAGTTAAAAAAGTCATGTGTAATAAGAATTTTTTTTAAAAATTTTTTTAATGTAGGTTAGGTTAAACCACCAGATGTCTTTTTGAATAAAATAATTAATTAAAACACATTTAAGACAATTATTAACTAAACAACACAAAATAGTTTTACAAGCACAAACAGTTTAAAAATTTTTAAACTGTTTGTGCTTGTAAAACTATTTTGTGTTGTTTAGTTAATAATTGTCTTAAATGTGTTTTAATTAATTATTTTATTCAAAAAGACATCTGGTGGTTTAACCTAACCTACATTAAAAAATTTTTTAAAAAAAATACTTATTACACATGACTTTTTTAACTCGTTCTGTTAAACTTTTTGTAGCGCTTCCTTTATGGAATTAGTCAAGGTGAGTCAAGGTTATTGTTTAACTTTCTTTTGTGTTTTTTCTGTTATTTTGTATATTTTAAAGTCCGTTCATGCTTTTATAATTGTTTTTATTACAACTGACTCCTTGACATTCCATTTAGGTGTGCCTGATGATGAAGTGACAACTTCGAAACCGGTCGCCAATAAATTGACTTGTGAGAAATAAAGGACCTTTTCTTTAACCTTTACACTTTATTTTAGTAAGGTGTATAGTATCTACACTTCCCGCCCAATAAGACAATAATACGTCAAATAGTTTTAAAGTACTAGACAGAAATAATTTTTAAATTTTTAAACAAAACCTGAAATTCAGAATACACATTTTATCTAAGTGATTTGGGTTCAATCTTCAAAATTTGAGCTCAGGATTCTATAGTTGAAATATTTCCAATTATTAATGAATCACCCTGTATGTACATTGTTCCTTTGCCTAATACTGTGAGAATGATTATTAATCTGAATTGTATTAATCCCTCATCTAACTGAAAAAGTGGCACGTAGTCTCTTTTGCTTGCTATTTGTGGTTGGGGAAAGGGGAGGAAGGGTGAACTACATGTACTATCTCCCGGTGGTGGGAACTGTCGTTTGACCCGTCAAATTCAAAGTAAAGTTGCTATTCGATGGATTTTTCCTTTGTTGCTCTCTGACTCTATTCAGATTATTAATGACAAAATTAGGTCTCAACTAATTCATATCAAATACACTTAAAATTTAAAAACAATAAAATGGTCGACTATTTATTAAGGTCTCGTTATATTATCCTTGATAAAACAATCTCTAAAAACAAAAATCATATGTTTTGTTTTATTCTTCTAGGCCACTCTTGTATTTTATTATACATTATTTGTATTATACCTAGCATGCTAAATTTAGCGGAAATTTATTGCGCCATTCAAAAGATATTTGCGATATTCCAGACTTTTTCGCCGTCATGAAATATTTGGTTCATAAATTTTACTTACCCTTAATACAGGACGTTTTAGAATACACATTACAGACTTCTGGGGATTTTAAGTTTCGTTAATTCACCAAATCCATGGTAATGGTTTATTATTGATTTTAAATGCACACTACGAACAAAATAAAAAAATTATATTAAATTGAACCAAAAGTGATTGACGGCTGTATACACACAACTTAGCTGAACAAAGAGGAACTTTCGTGAAATTTTTTTATTAAAATATCAAAACGCTTTCGACATTAAGACATCTTCAGTGAATAGTATCATATAAAACGATATCCTCTAATATCGGTTGTCATTATTTTGTATAATCGACCTTCAGGGTTTTTTTGTTAATTCGGGTTAGTATTACAACTTTTTAGTTTTGAATCTTTTTATTTCCAAAATCAACCATTATTTATTAAATCACAGATTATAAAAATCGCCTAAATCATAACAAGGACAACAAAATAAAATAAAATACTGCAAGCCAGCAATTTTGTACGTGCTTACTTGAAAGGTCTAATTTCGATATTTTAAAATAATATAGTTATACAATGAAAGAATTACATTATTTCATGTACAGGATGTTCTTTTAGTTTTTTAATGTTTAAGATTGAACATACTGGCAGCTCTCAGATGGAGTGATGAGGCTTCCGTTGTCATTTCGGTCCAGAGGCTGCAACTGAACCATCTCATGTGTCTCAGTCTCGTTTTTCCTCCTTGCCAGATTGATGTCGTCAGCCTAACCGTTTGCTGACTAATTTGTATCCAATCCAGATGAGTAAAACCAGGATTATTGTGGTAGTTACACTTATGGCATGTGACGTATAGGAATGCTGCTTAACTTGTCTCTATATATTCTCGTGCAATTCATCTTGCAAATCGTTTTCCTCTGACGTTACTTCAGATAAATTGCTAGTAATTGTGAGGACTGGTTCTTTCGGAATACTTCCAATCAAACTGATAAAACTGATTCCAGTGACATTGAGAACGGGCATTGAAGATTTTTCATAGGCCCCAAGCACTGCTTCTGTTACTGTTCTTTTTGTCTGTAGAATGTTTTGTTTGATCTTAATCATGCAGTCTTCTGAGAGTTGGATCACTCCGGTGATGTTGGTTTGGCAGTGATGAATAACCATGTGTTGGGCATGTGTATTTGTTGCCATACTATCGATTCTTCTGCAAATTGCTCAATGCCGCCGTAGGTTATTTCTGGTTTTTCGCCAATCTCATCAATGACACAGTTTGGACTTGATTCAATATTTGTTACCACAGATAAGGAACATATATACTAGTGTTTTGGGAGAACCAGACAGTGATCAATTTCTTCTTCACTCAGTGTGAAGTACAGATCGCTGTTTTAGTTTACTGCAAGTAAATTTCTGGGTATATCAAATATGCAGAATGATCTATTCGCTCTTGGAAGCGGAGTTGGTGTTACTCGAACGAGATCATATTCTGTTATATCTATGATCACGAAAGAGCTAAAGACTTGCATGGTTTGTTCTGTATATTCTATCTCCATTTTAACAGTTGGAAATGGTGATATTTTCAAATGTCCCGGCAGCTTTTTATTGGCATCTTCAATCGCTTCTAGGACATGGGCAGGTAAGCTCAGGTTGTAAAGTGTACCTTCATTATACTGTACATGTAGTAGTCGTGCGTGATACTCAATTAATTCATCTAGGAAATTCGTGGCTACTTGATATGAACTTAGAATGTTGATATTTAGTTTGTTCATGTCAGTAGTCTTAAACCACTGCCTCATTTCATTGATGAAATCTAGTCCTTGATTCACCTTCTCTCTAAAGCGCTCTAGTTGGTTTTGAATTCTGACTTCCGTCTCATTGATGTGGTATAACGTCGAAATCATTATTTTAGTTCGATGATTTGAGGTTTTTATAAGTTCATCTTAATCCTTTTTTTTAACCGATTTCAAAAAAGGAAAAGGTTCTCAATTCGTCGCGATATATTTTTTTATGTATGTTCAGCGATAATTTTTTAACGCGGTGTCCGATTTCAATGATTCTTTTTTTGTTAGAAAGTGGGTACTTCAGGGGTGGTCCCATATAAATTTGGTAAAAATCTAATAATTGGGTCCCTGAGAAAATCCTTAAACTCTTCATTTTTTATGTACGTTTAGCGATAATGCTTTACCACATTGTCCGATTTATATGATTCTTTTTTGTTAGTAAGGGGGTACCTCATGGGTGGTCCCATATAAATTTAGTTAAGATGTGGTGATGGCATCTGCATGTTTTTGAAGTCGGTTTTTTTAAATTTTTAATTTCTAATACTTGTTAGCGTTTTAATATCTTAGTAAACTTCATCGTATACTCCAAAGGCTGATGTTTGAGTCTTGCCAGAAAAACCTCTTTTAAAACGTTTTGAGTTGGATACTGAGCTGATCTTGAAACGCTTCAGCTGCAATTCTTGTTCTTTTAGATGGTACAATAGCGTGTAGCAATCTCATCAAAAAGTAATTCTGCATGTAGATAAAGTGCATGGTAATCTTCTATCGCTTGTTTTGTGTCCACAAAATCTTCAGCAAATTTGGTAATGTTACATTTCACTTCTATCCTGAATATTCCTCTGTCTATCTACGCATGCCCTAAGTGTTCTATATACAAGCCTGTTGTTGGATATTGTGGACTGTATCCAGCTTGCGCCTGGGGAAGTATGTGAACAGAAATTTTAATCAGTAGTATACTCAAAAGGTCATTCGGTTTATTTGTATGGTTTTGGGTTTTTATGGAACTAGTTGCCATTGTGCTAATTACTGAACCAACTGGCTTAGGCTTCAAGGAATCAGTTTCTTCTATTTCTATAGTAGTGTGATTAAGGAGGTAATTGCTCTTTTAACTGCGGTTCCCTTCGATTTTTCAATGTGACTACTCGAACCTTCTCGTCTTCTCCTGGATGAAGTTTTGTAATTCTTGCTAAAGGCCAACGGCTGTAATTGATATTGTCTTCTTTCAAGAGTACCAATGTTTTAATTTTAATATTTTTGTTTGGTGTCTGCCATTTATATTTTTGTTGTAGCATAATTAGGTATTCCGAAAACCAAAGTTTCCAAAAATTTGTTTTCATCTTTTGTATCAGGTTTCATCGTTGATCTAAGCTGCTAATGGCCTCCATTACATCTGGATTTGTCTGTGATATCATTTCTCTGCTTATTAAAAAGTGACCTGGAGTGAGTACGGTGCAGTCATTTACATCATCACTAATGGGACAAAGAGGTCTGGAGTTTAAGCACGCCTCTATTTGGTGAGTTAATGTAGATTCACCAATTACTCTTTTCAAATGATGTTTTATGGATTTGACTCCAACTTCCCACAATCCTCCAAAATGAGGAGCATGTAGAGGTATAAAATGCCATTTGATGCCTTGGAATTTTAAATATCCAGATTTTTATGATCCCAGAGATCTTATTCTGAAAATTTGTGTTTACACCTACAAAGATGGTGCCGTTATCGCTATAAATATGAGAACATGGACCTCTTCTTGATCTGAATCTTCGGAAGGCGGCTAAAAATGTTTCTGTTGTCATATCGCTTACCACTTCCAAGTGAATCGCCTTTGTTGATAGACACACAAAAATTGCAATGTATCCTTTGTAGGATTTATAGCCTCGTCCTTTTGTGGCTCTTACTTGAATTGGTCTAGCGTAATCTACTCCTGTATGGGTGAAGGGAAGAGAGGGTGTTACTCTATACTTTGGCAATTGCCCTATGTGCTGCTGTGCAGTTTTCTGTTTGTATCTGATACATCTTATGCATTTAGTTACAACCCGTTTGACAGCTTGTTTTCCATTAATAATCCAGTATTTTTGTCTACAATATGCAAGTGTTAGTTGAATTACTCCAAGCAAAGTTTTCTTATGACTGTTGTGTATTATTAGTTCCGTGAGATGATTATGGTTTAGAAGTATGACGGGGTGTTTTTGCTCGTAACGTAAATTTGAATTTTCCAATCTTCCCCCAACTCTTAGGACACCTTCATTATCAATCAAAGAAGTTAAATTGGATATTTTACTTGTCGTTTTGTTTATATAACCATTTTATTTTGAGTTTTGCCCGTATCTCCTGGTAGAAAATCCGCGCTTGTTCTTGCTTTATTATTCTTTTTAGTAGTTAATGGGCCTTTTTCATGGGTTTTAAGTCTTCTGCAATATGATAGTACTCGAATCATCTTTGCCAACTCAGAAAAATGTCTGCATAGCGGATGCTCATCTGATCTGATGATTTGAAGACACATGTTACTAATTCGTTTGTCCTCTTCAGTGTCAGGGATTTTAACCATATTTGGAGAATAGTCACGTTATATGTAACAATTTCGGACCCTTCGACCATAACGAAAAATCGTTCGGCTTTCGAATATCCATTCCTCTGGATAAAGCGTCTGCTGAATTATCTTGCGTTTTAACATAGTTCCAGTGTTCATTTGGCACCAATGTCTAAATTTCAGAGACTCTATTTTCTTTGAAAGTTTTCCATCTTTGTGCATCGCATTTAATCCAGATTGGTGCTATCATCAAGTCCGTCAACGCATGGAGATATACTGACTCTATTTTGAGGGCTTTGACTCAGTTTTCCTAACAGTATTGTAGAGCACAGTTCCAGCCTTGCTAAGGTAGTTTTTGTTTTTGCTGGAGCAACCTTTGACTTTGCAACCAGCAAGGTAGTGCGTGAGATACCATCTGTTTTTGTTTTGCTGTAAATTACTGCACCATATGACTGTTCGGAAGCGTCACAAAACCCATGAAGATCTATTTCAGTTTCTTCACAGTAGATCCATCTCGGAAGTTTGATACCTTCGACAGTGTCCATATGATTTTTGAAGTTTTCCCAACTAGTAGCAATTTATTTATTGTTTCGGCCTTTACTTGATGAAAATCCATTTAATTTTGAAAGAGTAAAACCAAATTTGGTAGATTTTCACACTTTTATTTTAAAAATAAAAATTTTTTTTTAAACAAACACTAACATGACATATGTTTCGAAGTACAACTTCTTTTTCAAATGTGACTATTTACAATTCGGTATCCAATATATATACAAAATAATTTAACAAAACAAAGTACTTAAGAAAACATCAATAACATTACAAAATAAACTAACTATTTAAAATAAATAAGGGTACTTAGGTAATTATAATATCCATCAAATAACAATAAGATAGCCCATTACCGGGATTATCTCACAGAAAACTGGGAAAGAGGTTTAATAAGGGTGAATTATTAATATCTAATTGATCATTTAGTAAGTTATCTGAATTTTTAAATCTATTTATTTCAAGTGTTTCTAAATGGTTTAATTTAAGGCTCTTATTTTCTACATGTAAAATTTCAAAGTTGTCTGTAAAAGAATGATTTTCAGCTAAAATATGATTTGAGTAAGTAGAATTATTTTTGTTTTTTGTATAGCTATTATAATGTTCGGAATAGCGTTTTTTGAAAGTACGGCCTGTTTGACCAATATACAATTTTGGACAACTACCACAATTTAATTTATATACCCCCGATTTATTATTAGGATTAATTTTACCCTTATTGTTTTTAATATACTTCCCAAGCGTATTATTGGTTTTAAAAGCTACGTTAATATTTTGGTTTTTTAAATATGATGATACCTTTTCACTAGGAGCTCCTATATATGTAAGACTCTTATATCTGCAATTTGGATCTTTAATTATGGGATAAACTTGTTGAATAGCCTGTTTAAAAAGTTTTTTCTCTTAAATGTTGTCTACTAACTTTGAATTAAAATTATTATTTACTGCGATTTGTTTAATGATATTTAATTCTTTTGTGAAGTTCTCTTTGGTAAGGGGAATATTAACTAATCTATGGATCATACTGTTGTATGCTGCCAGCTTTTGTTTGTATGGATGAGATGAACTATTATTTATTGTAATATCCGTATGTGATGGCTTATGAAATATCCCAAAACTATGGCCTTTATTATTTTTAATAATATTTAAGTCTAAAAAATTAATTGAATTATCCTTCTCTGTTTCCATAGTAAATTTAATATTAGGGTGTATAGTATTGATAAAAACTAATAAAGAATTTAACTGTCTACTAGTACCAGTAAAAGCAGTCAATATATCATCAACATATCTATGCCAATACAGACAATGTTTACTTAAATTATTGCTATGAATTTTATTTTCTATATTATCCATAAATATTTCTGCAAGCAACGGGCTTAATGGGTTCCCCATAATAAGACCTTCATTTGCTGAGTAGATGTTATTTTGAAATTGAAAATAATTTTGTTTTAGGCAAATGTTTAACAAATTTAGGATTTCTTCTTTGATTATAATATTGACTTGATTACGATCTAATAAGTTTTCTACTAGCTTAACTGTTTCTTTAGGAGGTATACTAGGAAATAAGTTTGTTACATCGAACGATACTAATTTTGTGTTACTAGGTAATTTAATGTTTTTTAATTTTTCTGTTAATTCATAAGAATTTTTTATACTATACTTTGAATTGAATTTGCAGTTTTCTTGTATAAGTTTAATTAATGTGTGTGAAAGTTTAACTGATGGAGCCGTGACAAATGACACAACTGGTCTAATAGGATAGTTCTCTTTGTGTAATTTTATTAAAGAATAAAGTTGTGGTGGTTGAGGGTTCATTTGTATTAGTTTGATTTGATTCTAGAGAAAAATTCAAACTAATACAAATGAACCCTCAACCACCACAACTTTATTCTTTAATAAAATTACACAAAGAGAACTATCCTATTAGACCAGTTGTGTCATTTGTCACGGCTCCATCAGTTAAACTTTCACACACATTAATTAAACTTATACAAGAAAACTGCAAATTCAATTCAAAGTATAGTATAAAAAATTCTTATG